TTTTCGGAAAATGAAAAAATAAAAAAAATGATTTTCACTATTTTTTTTTTACATACAGTGTCACCAGTGCAGTACAGTGTCATAATATAACTGGCATGGCGGTGATCAGGGACACTGACTGGTGACAGTGTGAAAAAAAATATATTATTTTTTTTTTCTATTATTTTAAATTCTTTATTACATTTTGTTTATTTTTTTAAGATTTTTTTTTTCATATTTCACTATGTCCAAAGTAGTACAATGTTACCATAGTAACATTGTACTACTTTGGGGAAGTGATCAGTATTTTTTTTTTTTTTTTTACACAATTTGCTTATAGCAAAGAATTACTTTGCTATAAGCAAGCATTTACCTGAATGAGATCGATTCATTCAGGGTTTTTTTTTTTTTTTTTTTTGTGCTTAGCTGTGATTTGGCCACAGCTAATCACATGACATGTGCATGTGATTAGCTGTGACCATTCACAGCTAGACACTAGTATACAATGGATGGCATGAATGAAGCCATCCATTGTATACAACTGTCATGTGACCTGCTGTGATTGGTCACAGCAGGTCACATGGTACTGGCAAAGGGAGCAGGTACTCAGATCTGTCATCAGCCGTGTCCGAGGTACACGGCCAGTGACAGATCGCGCCACTGAGCGGCTCTGCAAGCGCGCAAACTGCGCATGTGTGGGAGGACGCCATATGGCGGCCTCCCGGAAAGCTAGTACATTTTTCAGGACGCCCAATACGGCTTTTGGCCGGGCGTCAAATGGTTTAAAATGACAATTTTGTAAAAAAAAAAAAAATAAATAACTAATTTTATTTAATGTTTACATTTCCCAAAGGATTGTGGGAAAAAATTACAACGTCCAAAAATTCACCATGCCTCTTACTAAATCCCTTTGGATGTCTACTTTCCCAAAAGGCGTCATTTGGGGGTATTTGTACTGTTCTGGCATTTTAGGGTCTCAGAACCTTTTTCTTGAGCCTCCATATCTACAGTGCAGGTTACTCTACAATGCATTTATTTGTGTGGATGAATATGCTAATATGTCTGCAATCATAATGTGGCAGACTGATCAAACTTTCTTTCTGATATTTGCAGTTAATTTAGGAGGTGACGTGCAAAACCACCCTTTTTTTTTTTCCCCATCAATCCACAATTAACAACAAGGAATACAAATACGTAAATGAAAACATAAAAGAAATGGAAAGGTAGAGACCACTTTTAATATTAATAGAAGAGAACAAAAACTGAACTAGGGATAGTTCACCATTGAGCACAGGACTTGGTATAAAGCATAATGAAATAATTAATAAAATACAAAAGGATGATATTTTATAACATAAAAAACCAGCAAGACAAACAAAAACATATAAAAAAGTAAAATATGTTATAAGAAACAACCACTGAAGCATCAGTCTCCTGCTCACCTAATGGGATTTCAGCTGTCAGTCAGACAGCTGCTCCTGGCTTTTGTGAACTCCACTAATGTGTTTTTGTACATAAAAATGTTTACAAGTGGTAAATACACACAACATTTTTAGCATGATGCTTAACACAGTGAAATTAATATTCTATTTGAATTTTTTGTTCAGTTATTTTATGTCTTAGAGATATATTTTTATTGTAACTAATTTATAATTATAAAGATGGTACATTAATCTTTGCCTTTAAATATAAAATTATAATAATTCTAGAGCATGAATCATATGTCTCTAGGCTTTGTAAATGTAGCATTTTCTGGTCTCATTCTCTACTTGATTTTTTTCATTAAATATTAATTTCCTTTCTGCTGCTAAGATTTTAATTTTCTTATTTATCCTTCTTCCTGCATCCTATTAACATTTCCAATCTTGTAATTACTTTATCAGGTTTTCAGCAATTTTGTCTTATTAGCACTTCAAAAATCAGACTGATAGTCCTTAATATATTGCCAAATTGCTTGAGTACTTAATTTGCTAATAAAATCTCTTTCACAGTTAGAAATCTTTGGCCTTTGAAATCACTAATGAAGATTGCATTGCAAAACCATACAAATATACTTAGGAACAAATCTTTACATGCTATTTTAAAGTTTATTATGTAGATATACACATAAAATAAGTATGTTTCTTATGTTTGCCGAACATTATTATAAACAGCACACTTTGGGCTGCTAATTTATATTTATAACTCACAGTTAATCATATATAGATTGTCTTTAATCCTTCCACTGCCAGGCCCTGCTCTCCACTTTTGAACTCAGGTGGCCAGGCAGTTTTTGCAATTTTTCATTTTTTTTTTAGTTTTCTCTTTCAGCTTTCAGAGTTTTGTGTAAGACCCCCAAAAATATATATTTTCTGAAAGCATAGGACCAGTTTATTAAAAGGAAGGTATTACTGATTTTTTAGGCCCTGTGATATTTGCGCAAATGTTTCTCAAAACAACATTTTCGCTAAACATACACTAAAATGAATATTAATGGATACATACATGGCAAATGTTACACAATTCCTGCTTAATATATGTTAAAACTGTATTAAGTTAATAAATAACAAGTATTTGAACATTTTAAATTGCGCCTTTTTAGTGAAATTGGGAAAATGGAAGATACACAAAACAGTAAATAAAAACAATTTACTCCAAAAATCGGAGGTTTTCAAATTTTTCACTTACAACTTTCAGAGTTTTTAAAAGACCCCCCAAACCATACATTTTTTTAAAGCACACAACCTGTAGTTGCGTAAATGTTCATCAAGTTGCTATTTTCACTTAAAATGCACTAAAATCATTATTAGTGGATACATACATGGCAAAATTTACAAAATTCATGCTAAATTTAAATTTCTCCTTTTTGTGAAATGATAAAAATGTGGAAAATTGTAAATAAAACAATTTAGTCTCATAATCTGGAGGTTATCACTTTTCACTTACAGCTTTAAGAATTTGAAAAGAACCCCCAAAACAATAGATTTTCTGAAAGCACATGACCTGTAGAATAAAAAAGTGCTAATGATTTTTTAAGCCCCTCAGTAGTTACACAAATGTTCATCAAATAACTTTTTCACTAAAAATACACTAAAACTATTTTTAATGCACACAAACACAACGTAATTTTTTAATTCCTGCTATATTGCTACTAAGACCTTGTTCACATGGGGCATACTAAAGTGCATGGTCTTGGTGGGGCATGTTTACCCGCATGAGGATGCCCAGGTGTTTCATGCATCCCCATGCAGGCAATCCTATTCATGTCAATTGGAATACATAGCCGCTGCTCCCAATCTGACATCTCTGTGGGTTTGGGTGCGTGCCCCCAAACGCAGACAGCATGAGCTCAGGGACATGCACCCAGCCCTACATGAATGTCAAATTGGGAGCAACAGTTGTGTTTGTGCAGTTTCTACATCCCAAATGACATCAATTAGACTGCCTGCACAGGGATGCACAGAACACCTGTGCATCCTTGTGTGGATAAACACAGCCTTGCAGGAGAATATGCTGTGTATGTCATGTGTGAACAAGACCTTGTTATTAAGGATGCACCAATACCGGTATTGGTAGCTGTGGTGATACTGTGGAGTATTTTCATGAGTACTCGAAACGGATACTTTGTGTTGCCATTTGTGAATTGTGTCTCTTTCTATGCAGCCTAAGTTGCACATTACGTGAATGAATGAGGAGTCTACATAGAGACTCCTTTTCATTCATAAACTGACACAGTAAACAAAGTTTACTATTCTCAGTTATCAATGGATACAGGAGTGATCAGTAGTGACTGCTGACTGTATCCACTGAAGGAAAGGGAGGGGGTTGGTAAGGACATGTTTACCAAGCCCCCCTCCCCCGGCTCTTCATCCTGACAGCTTGGAGCCAGAGCAGCAGTGGGAGGGAGAGGAGGGAACATCGCCCAGTAGAAGAGGATCGGTGAGTGGGGGGCCAGCGGGGGGGGGGGGGGGTCAGAGTGGCAGGGGAGAGGTCGGAGTGGCAGGGGGGACATTTGTTTTGCTCCAAAGCCCCAGCAGCAAGCCAGCGGGAGAGGCAGAGGAGGAAAGCTGATGGCTGCAGGGGATTGGGTTTGCCAGTGGGGGGCTGCAGATTGTGTGGGGGGGAATCTGTGCTTGGGGTAAGAGTAGAGTGGGGGGACATTTACTAAAAGAAAACAACAGTGGTGGGAGGTGAAGAGGCTACTGACAAGAGAGTGAAGGAAGCGACAGTATCAGCGGGGGGGGGGGGGGGGGGGGGTGTTACATTCAGGGTTGAATAGCTCTAATCATCAGCTTGTTAGCAGCTGATCAGAGCTATCTGTTTGTTCAGCAGAACAATTCTGCTATAAGTTATAGCAGAGGAGGAAAGCAGGTCTGTACGGTGTACGGACCTGGCCTGCTGGAAGTCATGCTGTAAGTCTTTACTCCGTACAGGTCTGGCAGTGAATGGGTTAAACAATCTATGATTAACAGTTAATGATGAAAAAATACGTATCATTATCTGTGAGTCAGCTGTAAAGTGTTAATTAGTGTCAACTAATTACGTAGTTCTCATATAACAATATTGTAAAATTGTATGATGGTAATTTTTACAGTTGTAACAATTATTCTACCTTAACATTTAAGAAATATGACATGGCATTATCTTTCTTTCAAATAACCAAAAACAAAGCAATACAAAACAACAATTCAATAGAGAAGCAGCTCACATCTACACATACTCATATCAATGTGCCAAAATGTAAAATATAAAATAAATGATAATGCCGTACTTCTCAAAAATCAATAAACATTACACATGCAATAATAATGCAAATACAACAAACATAATAGTGATTTAAAGTTTGTGAGTCCTCTCAGTTATATTTGAAACATAATTAACCAGTTCCGCGCTGCCCTATAGCAGAAATATACTGTATATATATGTGATTTTGCAGTTCCGGATAGGGAGAACTGCCATTTGCGGCTTTGGATGTCAATCACTGGGTCCCAGCCGGGGATTACTTGCTGGTGATTGCTGAGTATTTCAGATGGGAGAGTGACCTGCATGTAAACAATACAGATCTCTCCCCTGTCAGCTCCTGCACACTGCATAGCAGAGCCATACAAAGCAGTATGCTTACAGTGAAGCAGACACACAACCCCCATAGTGAAACAGCAAACAGTTACCCTTTGATCGCCCCAGATGTTAACCCTTTATGCCCAGTGCCATTATACAGTGTCAGTGCTTATTATTAGCATTGATCACTGTATTAATGGCAATGGGGATGTCAGTGACATCAAGTTAGCTCCCCACTGTGTCAGAATGCCAGTCACAGTCCCGCAGTCCCGCAGTCCCGCAGTCCCGCAGTCCCGCTATAAGTCGCTGATTGCTGCCATTACTAGTAAAAAAAAAAAATTCCAGTATATATACTGCTATTGTGATTTTTTTCAGCAAACACATATAACAGAGTACATTTTGGTCTAAATGTATGACAAAATTTGATTTTTAAATTTTTTTTACTGGACATGCTCATAGGCAATCAAATACCACCAAAAGAAAGCTCTATTTGTGGGAAAAAATGGACTTAAATTTCATTTGGGTGCAGCATTGCATGACCGGGCAATTGTCAATTAAAATAACGCAGCGCCGTATCACAAAAAATGGCCTGGTCAGGAAGGAGTGCAAGTGGTTGATATTGTGACATCCTCTTCTCAAACCTGTATCTGTGTTCTTATGAAAAACATGCACCTCTTCGTATTCCAATATCCATGAACCATAAAATTTATCCTCCTGATGAAGCCACTTGACCCTGTGGAGCAACGCATAGGGGAGGGGCTTGTGACATCATAACGCTTGGAGGATCGAGGAACACGAGATGAGTGAGACATATGGATCCATGTTATGTATATTATGCTGACTATATGCGGTGCCATTCAGTACCTTTTTATGTTAGTGGCCATTTTATGTTTTAAATAAATCAATGTTTTTATAAAGATAAGACACTATTGGTCTTTTTATTTTTCATCATTAGTCATTTTTTATGTCGATCAGAGGAGAAAGGAAGGATAAGAGCCATATGGAGAAGGTGATCTGTTTATTTTAAAAGAAGATTCCGCTTCATGGTTCATCGCCATCCTAGTCCATTAAAGGGACATAAGTGCATTATGACCAAGCATTATATATGAGGTAAAATTATTCAGGTGAGGACACAATTGTGGTGTTTGCTGAAGGAGCACGGATATTGGAATATGAAGATGTGCATGTCTTTCATAAGAACAGGGATATAGATTTGAGAAGAGGATTTTACAATATTAATTTTGTTTAAAATATAACTGAGAGGATTCACAAACTTTAAATCACTGTTATATTTGTTGTATTTGCATTTATTATTGCATGTGTAATGTTTATTGATTTTTGAGAAGCACGACATTATCATTTATTTTATATTTTCTTATCGTTCCTTGCTTTTGCAGCATTATGGTTTTCAAGGGGAGTTTTTCCTAGTTTTTAATCAATTTGAAATTCTTCTTTCTTGGGTGGGGCACTAGACTGGAGTGTCCTCTTTCACACCTTTTCCTTGCTTTGGTGATTGAACCATTAGCTATAGCCATTATGCTTTATCCCAATATTAGGGGTTATCTGAAGGGTGAGGATTGTTTCAAAATATGCATGTATGCGGATGATGTTTTACTCTTTATCACCCAACCAATTATATCTTTACCTAACCTTTTGGACATTGTATCCAAATTAGCAGCTTTAATGAGCCTCTCAGTTAACCTGAATAAATGGTTCTACCACTTAGCATGCCACCCTCCAGGAGCACTTGGAGACAGTCTTCCATTCATTTGGTCTGCCTCTACTATTTCCTACTTGGGGATTAACCTGTCCTCTGACATTTACATTTTTTTTCAATATAACTATCCTTATACTATCTCCAAGATTAGGACAATTCATAATTTGTGGTCATCCTTTCAGATCATGTTTTTCAGGACAGTGGTTGCAATCAAGATGACTATCCTCCCAAAATGATTATATTTGTTTAGAGCCCTGCTAATCAGACTCTCTAAATCTTACATATCCCAGGTACAGTCATATCTAAACAGATTTGTATGGCATTTTAAACTCCCTATATGTTCAAGAACTTTTTTTATATCACACTAAACAGGGAGGTCTGGGATTACCACAGATTTGGCTATATCATGTGGCTTCTCAACTGACACAACCGGTCTTAAATGTGACAGCAATTTTATTTCACTATATTATCTACCAAGTCTACTATGGTCTACTGGACCTTTGGCATCTTAAACTTTGGCATCTATATAAAGATTAGTATATTCTAATTTCCAAAGTTGCTCCATGTTCCTCATTATTGGGAGTCCAAGATTTGTAATGGCATTTTCAAGACTTAATGACTTATATTGGTGTAGTCCCATGCAGTAATTAATATTTCACACACCCCCGAGAAGGTTCCTCATTCATTTCCTTCTCTCAGCTCCAACAATTGAAAGCTATCTCCCCTCTTAATTTTACAATTATTTACAAATAAGACATTTTTTTGCCACACATTATGCATTCTTCCGACTCTTATACTATGTATGAAAACATATGTAAGACATATGTAAGACGTGCCCTCAGGGGAAGGGACTGATTCATTTTCCCTATATCAAAGTATTATTTCACATACTACCTCCTTTAAGCTCACCTACATTGTTAAATGGGAGGAGGAGCTTGGTGAGCAATTCATAGAGCAAGAGTGGGTTACTATGTGGATCAACTTCAGGAAATGTACCAGATGATTGACAGTCCAGGATACAGCACTTAACCTGTTTACTAGGTGGTAGTATAACCTCTTAAACTTTCCATTATTTATGTCTCACTGTTTACATGGTTGCTTTCAAGCTGGGTAATTTTTACATTAATTTTGGACATGTGAGAAGGTAGTCTGGGTTTGTACTGAGCTTTTTGATCTTGCTTCCAAATTAGCTGGTAAACAATTCACTTCAAATTCGGCCCCAATGTTTGTTATTCTCTACTATTCACAAATCATGTCCAGAATAGATGCGATTATGTTGATGGAACACATTTTTCACACAATTCAAGAATCAAACCTCCATTTTCATATCATCTACCTTCAGCAGAGTGATACTATTCAGTCATTCTCTGGTAGGCTTTCTTGATACCTGTCCTACCTCATACTACATTAACTTTTGGTACATCTACCTGTTATAAACTTCTGTATGCTCTTGAACTTACTTAAAGTGTTACTAAACCCAGGACCCTGCATTCATTCTAGCTGGTCTCTCACAGTACACAGAAAATGGAAGTGCAATTTTAGTAAATATAAACTACTACCTTTTCTCATCAGCATGTGACTTCTATCATTATCCAGCAGAGCACATGTTGAAGATTGTAGGAGTAGTTTTCATTCTACTGTAAGAGGATGCAGAACTCATGACCTCTGTCTGGACAGTGCTGATTGGCCCTGTGCTGATCACATTCACTCTCCCAAGAAAAAAACAACCTCTCTAGCAATATACACCAAACTGAGCATGTGCAGAGTGTCTCCACACTATGTCTTATCAGGAGATAAGTGGGGGACACTGGAAGAAGGGTAGGATCAAAGAAGTCAGGATCAAACAGTCTTTTTACACAATGCAGAGGATTAACCCCATAAGTTGCATAGTGAGTATAACAAGCATTCTTTACTACATATACAGATTGTTTTTCCTGTGGGTTTAGTAACACTTTAATCTCCCTAATGTGATTTGAAAGCGCCTTATTGTTAACTATTTTTGTATTCTCATGTTTTTTCTTTTGTGTCCTGTATATACCTGTGTGGCTCATTGGATGAAACAGCTCTGAATTGTTTATCGCTATTTTTTTTACAAATTATCTTGGATGTACATCATCCATTGTATGCTGGATTTTGTACCTGTTTTAACACTTTTTTAATAAAGAGTTTGTAAACAACATTTAACCACTTGCCCTCCAGAGGATTTACCCCCCTTCTTGAGCAGGCCATTTTTTGTGATGCGGCACTGCGTTACTTTAACTGACAATTGCACGGTCACCCAAATGAAATATGTCCTTTTTCTCAGAAATGGAGCTTTCTTTCAGCGGTATTTGATTGCCCCTTCGTTTTTCATTTTTTGCACTATAAACAAAAAAAACACAACAATTGTGAAAAAAAAACAATTTTTTTTGCCTTTTTGCTGTAAAACATATCCAGTAAAAAAATGTTAAAAATCAACTTTTGTCATAAATTTAGGCCAAAATGTATTCTGCTACATGTCTTTGCTGAAAAAAATCCCAATACGTGTAAATGAATTGGTTTACATGAAAGTTATAGAGTCTGCATATGGAGGGTATATATACTGGAATTTTTTTTTTATACTAGTAATGGTGGTGATCAGCGGCTTATACTGGGATTGCGGGACTGCGGCGGGCATTCTGGCACTGGGTGGGAACTGAATAACTGCCACTGACATCCCTAGTGACACTAATACAGTGATCAGTGCTAATAAAAAGCACTGACACTGTACTAATGATACTGGGCAGGAATGGGTTAACATCTGGGGCGATCAAAGGGTTAACTGTGTGCTGTGTGTGTTTTACTGTGTGCTGTGTTTTACTGTGTAAGCATGCCGCTATGCAGAGCACTACAAAACAGTGTAATGGACCTGACAGAGGAGAGATCTGTATTGTTTACATACAGACCTCTCCCCACATCAGTGTTCGTCGGCGATCGCCGGGTGCCATCGGGAAATCTCCATCCGGGACCTGGTGATTGAAAGCTGTAGCCGCCAATGGCGGCGTGGGTAGGGCATGCGTGCTGCGTGCGCCCCCTACCTGGAAATACAAAATCACATATATATACATAATTTTGCGCAGCTCTGCTGCCCTGTAGCAGTTTTTTCTGCTATAGGGCGGTCAGGAAGAGGTTAAGAAGTATTTAAATGAAGAAAAATACTTTGATGCTTTTGTGAGAAACACTGCTCCAGAGCAGAAAATAATATAGTGCTTCTGTCAGGCTTTCATTGCTCTCTATGTCTCTGTTGCTGAGATTTCCCTCTTTTCCTATCATGATATGAAATCTGTCCATTGGGAAAACAGACAAAACTAAAAACCCCAATTTAATTATAGTGAAGAAGGGTTAGAACATCAGACAATGTTTACTGCATATGCCTTTCTGTTCTGGAGAAATGACCCCCCATTGTTTGCATGAACATCAGCATATACAGTATATTATATTGCTGAAGACAGGATACATTTTTAATTGTGTCTGGGGTGTGTGGTTAACCTATCCAAAGAGAGAGGCACTTTAATCAAGAATAGAATTGGAATTCAGCCTAACACTATTATAGTGATATTTATGATG